TTGCTTGAAATCAACGAAGCGTGCCATCAGCTCTTCGAACTGATTCTAAAAAAGACTTCCAAAAAATGTTTTCAGTTTTTAAACAGTTAAAATGACAAATTTCAATAAACTCAATATATTAGCGACAAAAGTAAAAAAACGAAAAATAAACGCTGAAAATTTGAAAAAAAAGACATTAGCTTTTGCCTCGTAATGACTGAAATCAGATGCACAAGTGCAGGATATCACTTTCACCACTTTAGGAAGCCAAATCCGATGAACAGGGCATGTTGCTCACCTTGGTGATTAATCACTGGATGTTGCGTGTTAGTGAGTGGTGCTCGTGAGAAAAATGAAAAAAGCGACGATGAAACAACGGCTGATCGAAGTGTCAAAGTATGTACCCCGTATCTCCAGTACTTTTCACCTGCACGCTAATCCCTATTGTCTCCTGAATTTGCTATCGCCCAAACGATGGAAAAAAAATCTATTCCGTCGTGAGCAAGCGACCATTGAAGCGGATGTTGCAAGGTGGCGAGTCTGTGGGATTTCCGCGGCGATTCGTTAATTTTCTCAAACTAATGAATGCTTTTAGCGTAATCGTTAACTTGCTGGAGAGGAAAGCACGTAAAAGCATTGTGAGTTGTAAAGTGAAAGTATCCAGCTCCCCCACGCACTCATTCTCTTTTTTTCAATTTGTGCGTTTAACCATTAAAGTTGCATATTTTGTCTACGGAGTCCAGGATCAAAAAAAGCTGGCACTGCAACAGTATTCCACTAACAATCACTGAAATGCTATATCTGCAATGATTGCCCGGTCGTGGTATCCTTGGTATTTTGTCTACGTGCTGAAATCAAATTTCAAAAATTCCACGACTTTCTTCGGGCTGAAAATCTGGCTTTTACAAAAATGTAGATTTATACTGTACTATTCTTGGATACCAAAACTATATTCTTGATTACCAAAACTTCCGTGACGTGAGTTGCGTTTTTCAAAAGTGTATTCTAGTCAGCTGCTAATCTTCGCGTTGTTTTTTTAACTGCTATTAATTTGTCCGCCGTTATATTACTTGCTTTTATGCGCTAGAGCTAGGATTATGGTGGAGAAGGTAGGGGAGAGGGAAAAGAAACGATAAGGAAAAATGCGGGACGGCACCGAGCATAAGCTACATTGCTATAACCCAGCTATTCAGGTTAGAGTATGAAAGCAGAAAAATCCAGGCTCGAACGCATCAGGTGGGCCGGTGCGATTATGCGTTTTTGCACTTTTCGTGCTGTAGCAAGATCGCAAGGAATCACAGTAGCTAACCCTGTGACATACTGGCCGTCGAAGTTCGGGAAGTTAATTGTGGAGCTGTGTGGTATGTCAGTTGTAGATGTCGACTTCAGTGACCCGGCAAATGGAGAGTTGCTGGTCCGCAGAAAAGGCCGCGCAAGAGGAGTTAAATTTGAAATCTTTTGGTCATACATGAGTGGGGGACATTCCCCTAAAGCTTCAGCCTTCTAGCTTTTCCCGTTCCCGGGTTAGTAATTTTCGCGTCAAAATTTCCAGTGCCCGGCCCCGGGCGCTTCTAAACGTCTAAGTTTGGTCGTACATAAGTAGGAAACACTCCCCGAAAGTTTCAGCTTTCTAGCTTTTCCTGCCAAGGGTTAGTAATTTTCGCGCCAAAATTTTCACATGCCCGTACGTGAGCCCCTGACGGTCCTAAGGAGCTGAGTTTGAAAGTTTTGGTCGTGCGTAAGTAGGGAACATTATCCCAAAGTTTCAACTTTCCAGCTTCTCTTGTTCTCGAGTTTTCCAGCCATAATTTTCACGCGCCTGTACGTAAGTTCCGGGCAGACCTGGGCAGCTGAATTTGAAATCTTTTTGTCATACACTGGCAGGGAACATTCCCCTAAGATTTCAGCTCTCTAGCTTCACTCGTTCCCGAGTTATCAGTTTTCCTGCCAAAACTTTCACGTGCTCGTACGTGGGGCCCAGACCTGCGTGAGAGTTGATACCGCGGTCCAGGAGTGGCACTTGGGTGAGGAACACACTGGTAAAATTTAAGCTTCAAAGCCTGCGTGGTTGACGAGCTGAAATACCCGGACACACACACTGACAGGTTCGTTGCAATATGCGCTTTTTGATGCCTGTTGCAGCGCTCTAGCGTTGCGCGGCAAAAACGTATAAAAACACCGCATGCAGTCCAGGGGATTTGACCTTAAAATCGTGATATATCACGAAAAATTTGCTTTTTCCGGGTTAATTTTATTTTCGAAGAATAAATTTTTTCAGTTCAAGACATTTAAAAAATTTTTTGAAATTGATAAACCTGGCCCTTAAAAAAATTTTTTTAAGGACCAAGTTTACTAATTCTTTTACTTAACAAAATTGCATCTGAAAACTTACAGTAACATGATCTAGTTGCAGTTGCAGACGATTTGGCGATCCCCAATCACTTGTATTTTTAATAACAAATTCTCTTAAATCCCGAATGCATTGCTCGAAATCGTCGAACTCTTTTTGCAACTGCTGGAATTGAAAAAAAAGTAATTGTGATAAAAATTTAAGTCCAGAAAAAATATTTTGTTCAGTGGTGTACAAACTCTGAAAATTTCGAAATTTTACTTTAAATTTATCCTTTTTGCTTTGAAAATTTCATTTTTTGTGTATTCACAATAAACTGCATTGTTCAAATGAATTTTTCCATGATCGTTGAAAACAAATTCTATTTCAATTTTTCAAATTAAAAAAAAATTTAAAAAATAAAACTTAGAAATTGCAAGAAAAGCTTAAAATATCGATGCTTCCAATTTTCTGGTTACCGGAGATGTGAAACTCAAGACAAACACAGTAGGCGTAAGGCAAAAAGGAAAAAAGGACACATACACTGAAAAGCAAGAAGCGCAGAAGCCTTAAGTTTGACTTATATAAAAAAAAAACACCAGCGAGAAAATACTGGAAATTTTCTGAAATAGTCCGTTTTATGCTGAATCTCGATGGCTAATTGTGCAAAAAAGTGGAAAAAAGGATTTTAACTTACCGCAATAAGTGTCCCACTGGCAAAAGCATTCTGAAATGAACGTTTTTTTTTTTTTCATCTATTAAGCTGCGAGGAAAATG